TTAGCTATTATTATTATTATTATTATTATTAAAGGCAACATCTTAGTCAAAGTGCAAAGGTAGGCATAGAAAAAGTAGCACAGTTAAGCTCAGTGCAAATGACATAGTGTACAAATATAATGCAGCAACATAATTCAACATTAATGCATTTCACATTCATAAGCTTGCTTTCTTTATTCTGAAGCGGAACTGTTATTACTGATTGTATACAATATATCGTTATGTGCTTATCTTTATAAGAACTTGACACAACAACATCATTCAAACAATGGGTTCATTAGGTGTATGTGTATATTGTAGCACATTATCTGAAAAGTAGGATTTACCTGTTTGGTGGTAGAAATAAATATTCGGATGCTATCCGTCAGTCAGTCGATGGCAAACCGTCATAACTTTTCCTCAACTTCCTCTAATATAGTTCAACTCCGGACTTGTCAATGTTATGGACCACAATGATGGACTCGTATTATAAATGCACCTACTTGTCGTGTTATTGTTTCGTTGGCAAATTGTACGTTTCAAGCGTCCGTTACTGATTCCAGAAGCTGACTGCGATTGGTTTTGCTAATAAGTGAAATCGCGATTACTTTTTTTTTTTTGTATTATTATTATAATAGGCTATATGAAACACAGAATGACATTAACATACTACATGCCAGGGAGCAAGAAAATAATGTACCTTTTAAAAAGATTCACAGTTTTTAAAACTTTCTTATTGGAAGAGTCAGAAATCAAATACATATAAAAATCGCGATTACTTTGCGGTGAACAGCCAATCGCGTGTTAAAGTCCGCGCGATTTATCTTTCCTTTGAAAATCAAAAGATCATTTTGGAACAAAAATATGAAAAATGTAAACACATTTTAACATTAACATGCTTATTATAAAGAAAATAAAGCGCGCCTTAATTTGGAGGGAGAGAAACAATCAGAGGGACTTTTTTAAACGAATATTGAACCAATCAGCTGCTAGCACATCTTTAACTCAAAAAGATGATCTGTGATTGAAAGCGTAACCTAATCAAAATACTATGGTAAATTGATAAATGAATAATAATAAATAATAAAAATAATATGATACACTGATAAATGAATTTATTTAAAAATCATAATCTTTAGATTTAAAAATGATTAGGCTATGCCTGCAGGGTCCAACCCACCCTTAAGAACAAGCACCCTTTAATAACAAGCTATACTTGTATAGAGACCTTTAGTGATTTCAAAAGCAATAACACGATCATTTTATTTGTTACTATTATTTTTGTAGCCTAATTTCATTGCAGTGACCATATAGCGGTGTAAAGTATGACAAATATCACAGAAAGAACTCTGCAGGATGACAAATGATTTATTTGCAAACATGCTTTACAAATGTTACGCATGAAAATAAGCCTTAAAATAAATGTCAACAACATACTTAAAGGGTAGCTTCGTGATGGAATGTCACACATATGCTTTTGGAATCTCTATTCAATTTTTTTGAGCACTGAACTATAATGTATGTTTTGTGTAGGCTACAACTTTTCAGTATAGAGGGGTAACATTTGCTTTTTCTTCTTGAGCATGCAAGGATAATTTTCAAGCTGCTAAAATGCCCCCCC